TTACTTTGGCTTCTACAATAAGGCAGGAAAGTGTATCTTCCCCCTGAGTTCCACAAATCTTATCTCTTACTAGTTTACTCTACCTGATTACTTGGAAAAAGAGTTTATTTGTTCTCTGCAGCAATGCTTAAAAGGTGGTTGGTTCCTCATATAGCTGCTTTCCCTCTAAACCATGCAGTTAGTGCAATCTAAGCACAGTCCTTGTTCTTTTTTTTTTTTTTTTGAGACAGTCTCCGTAGAGTACAGTGGTGTCATCATAGCTCACTGCAACCTTAAACTCCTGGGCTCAAGCAGTTCTTCTGCCCAAGACTCCTAAGAAGCTGGGACAACAGGTGCGCATCACCACGCCTAGCTAATTTTTCAATTTTGTAGAGAGATGGGGTCTTGCTATGTTGCCAAGGCTGGTCTTGAACTCCTAGCCTCAAGCAATCCTCCCACTTAAGCCTCCCAAAGTGCTAGGATTACAGGTGTGAGTGCCCATGCTGGCCCTTATTCTTTACCATAGAAGTCTTTGTCTGTTCTGGATGATTTTGAGATCTTGTTCATTTGCTATGGTTGATCTAGTAATGGGAGGGGGATTTTATTTTATTTTTTTAAGAAAATAAACATTAGGGTTAGAAAGAACTAATACAACTAACTATATTACAGTTAGAAAATGGACTTTTTAAAAGTTCCAAAACAATCGTTTCCATTTCTAATACTAGGAAATTCCTCAATAAAAATACATTAGCAGAAATGACTAATCAGATTTGGACAGTTTTCTGGTATTAGACCATTACTAAGCTTCTGTTTTCTTTATTGTTTCCAAATTGAAAAATAGGAATGGAACAGAACAGAAGAGATTAGAGGAAGGAGCTAGCTAAGGGAAAGGGAAGTTTTTATTGAAGTTAATTCTATATTTAGTATATGCCTGTGAACTTATACTTTTGGCCATGCATAATTTAGCCTTATGGTTTAATGGAGTTTTTTATTTACTTATATTTTACTGAATAACAGGTCATGCAGAGCCATGAAATTGGCTTGACATAGTCTGACTTCAGGAGGGAAAAATTTATTAACAAGATACTTTTTCATAGCTTCTATTATTCTAAACATTGAGTACACAAGACTTAGCCTTGTCTTCATAATCACTCTGAAGGCTTTTAGGTAGACATAGTGGCCTGAAATTATTAGCCACTAAAGTTACACCTTCTTTCATGCAATTACATGGGAACAAAAGAACAATACTAAAGTAAGATAATTTAAAATGGAAATTATTAGGAAAGATAATACTTTTCTATAAATCAGAGTTTTCTTTTTCCTCTTCCCTCCCCTCCTCTCCTTGAGACAGGACTCTCTCTGTCACCTAGGCTAGTGTACAGTGGTGTCATCATAGCTCACTGCAAGCTCAAACTCCTGGCCTCAAGCAATCATCCTGCCTTGGCCTTCCAAGTAGCTGGGATTACGGGTGTGCGCTACTGTTCCTGGCTAATTTTTTGGTTTAAAAAATTTTTTTAGAGACAGAGTCTCACTATGTTGCCCAAGTTGGTCTTGAACTCCTGGCCTCAAGCAGTCCTCCTGCCCTCCCAAAATGTTGGGATTACAGGCATGAACCACCGTACCCAGCCTTGTACTAGATATTCTTATTTGTAAACTAGGGGACCTAATGCTTGCCTCAGACAGTTGGGAGAATTAGATGTTTAAGCTGAGAAATTCTTGAAGCTCTGGACTTATAATATCTATCTGTTTAGAATCTCCTTTTGAGATTTCAAAGCCATTTTAACCTTAAGTCTAAAACTTATCATGTGAGCTCTCTTCCAGAATGTTTTGTTTTCATTAATAGCACCAACAGTCAAACCAGAATTTAAAAGTCACTTCCCACTTCTTACCACATTTTCTAGTCCATCCAGAGCTATTGATTTTACACCATAAATTTTGTTCCTCAAATTAGTGCTTATCTCCACTGCTCAAGCAGCCATTATGTGCTACTATAATAGCCTTCTTTCTCCCTAAGTCCTGACCCACACCCAGCCAGAGTAAAATTGTTTTAAATGTACATATGGGTCACTTTTCTGCTTAAAACTTTTTAATGAGGCTGGGCGAGGTGGCTCACACCTGTAATCCTAGCACTCTGGGAGGCCGAGGCGGGCAGATTGCTCGAGGTCAGGAGTTTGAAACCAGCCTGAGCAAGAGCAACACCCTGTCTCTACTATAAATAGAAAGAAATTAATTGGCCAACTAACACATATATAGAAAAAATTAGCTGGGCATGGTGGCGCATGCCTGTAGTCCCAGCTACTTGGGAGGCTGACGCAGTAGGATTGCTTGAGCCCAGTTTGAGGTTGCTTCGAGCTAGGCTGATGCCACAGCACTCACTCTAGCCTGGGCAACAAAGTGAGACTCCGTCTCAAAAAAAAACCAAAAAACTTTTTAATGAATTTTGTTACCCTTAGTCCACAGATAAAATCTTTAATGAGGCCAGGTGCAGTGGCTCACGCCTGTATTTCCAGTACTTTAGGAGTCTAAGATGGGAGGATTGCTTGAGGCCAGGAGGTTAAGACCAGCCTGAGCAACATAAAGAGACCCGGTCTCTACCAAAAATAGAAAAATTAGCCGGGCATGGTGATGCACACCAGCTATTTGGGAGGCTGAAACAGAAGGATTACTTGAGCCCAGGAGTTTTTAAGTCTGCCTGGGCAGCATAGTGAGACTCCATCTCCAAAGAAAAATGAAAACAAACTTAAATAATATTTATCTTTGATCACATCTCTTCCCTGTCTTTTCACATCCCCTCTTTATCATCATCCCTTCAAAGTCCCCCCCCATCCCTTTCAGTGCTGTTTTATTTATCTGAAGTTGCAGAGCCACAGTTCAAGAACCCTCTGTTCCCATGTAATTAATGATGAAGGCCTACCATTTGAAATTCATGTGAGTACCCCTCTTACTATAAGCAGATTATTTGGTATGCATGATACTATAGTGAAGCACCTCTTTAGGGTGCTGCATAATAGTTAGCTAGTCATCCTCCCAGTGGAGAATCATATCTACCAGTTCATAAATTAGGTCCCAACTGATGAGACCCAAAGCTGCAAGGGTCATTCAAATACTTGAGAATCTCAAGAGTTTCATTAGTAATTAGTCTTACTTTGCTCTTCACAGAGATTGCAAAGGCCTTTGCGAGAGCAGAGGAAGACTGGATGATAAGAATGTACATGATTCCTTCGCTGTTTACTTCCAAAAAAAAAGAACAAAAAAAAGAATGTACATGGGCTAGCAAATAAGGAGTTGGGGAATAGTTCCCATGAGTCAAGTGGTTTCCAGGGAGAAATGAGGACTCATTTTGTAATGTCATCTCCACCTGTGTGTGTTAACTAGCACTCAGAGGCTGGAAGTTAACGACAGCTGGTTAAAATTTCTAGAAATAGTGTGGTGATAGTAGTGCAAGAATGGGAATGTACTTAATGCCACTGAATTTTACGTTTAAATTTGGTTAAACTGGTAAATTTTATGCTACATATATTTTACCACAATTTTTTAAAACATTTCAACAAACTGGGTGCTATGCTGGCATCTGTAATCCTGGCTTCTTTGGAGGCTGAGATGGAAGGGTTGCTTGAGGCCAGGAGTTCAAGACCAGCCTGGGCAATGTAGTGAGATCCTGATTATTAAAAAATTTAAAAATTAGTCTGGCACAGTAGTGCACACATAATCCCTGCTACTCTGGAGGCTGAGGCGGGAAGATCAGTTGAGCCTAGGAATTCAAGGCTGTGCACCTCTGTACTCCAGCCTACACAATAGAGCTGAGACCTTGTCTCTTAAAAAAAAATTCTAAATGAAAATGTTTCAACAAAAATGAAGTATCATCTAAATTCCAATTTTGCCAGTATTGTTTTTTATAGCATCTCCTTCCCACTTTCCCTCCCCTGCAGTATAGGATACAGTCAAGAGTAGGGTATTGCATTTATGCAATGTCTCTTTAGCCTCCCTTTGCCTTTTATGATATTGACATTTTTTAGAAATACAGTGCCTCCTCCCCTTTTTTAATAGACACTTCTTTTTCTGTTTGTCCATTGTTTCCTAGTACTTAGAGTGAGGTTATGCAATCTCAGGCAAAAAATTGCATAGGTGATGTGTCCTTCTGAGCTTATCATACCTGGAGACTCAATACATTTTTAATTAAATACATAGTGAAGGGAATCAACAAAAGTTGTAGGAATTTTAGAGAACAAAGACAAAAAGATTGGAATAGTCATCATTATTAGACATCATGGCAAGACATGATTAAAAAAGAGACTGATTTGATAGCATGCTTCTAAATTTTACTGATTTTCTCCAGTGTCAAATTTTGCATTAGCTCAGCTAATCTATATTACTGTCTTGTGTTAAATCAAGAAAAAAATTACTGATTTCACTTTTTACATTTAATGAAATCAAATGTACCTTTCAACTAGTTATCAAGGGTCTACTGATTATTACTTAAAGGTTCCCCCAAGTGATTTGGATGAATATAAGATGACATTAAACTTTGGTGTATGAAAACAAGTCTTTATTCCCTTCCTGGTTTCATCAAATATAGTCAGACTGACAGTTTGTACTGTTGGCTTTGCCACCATTCTAGAGCCTTTTAGCACCCCTACATGAGTTGTAGAAAGCTGCTGAAAGAAAAGTACTTTTCTTGCCAATACCTTTTGTAGAATGTATAAATAGTGGTAATGCTGATGCATCTATCCTTGATGCTATTTTTCCCTTTCAGGCTATCTTACAAAGAAAATTTTCCATGCAGAAGTAACAGGCTATTACTTTGCAAATATGATTAAGGCAAATATCAGTTTATTTCTTAGAATTTTTTTCATGTTATAGGAAACATTGTAGTTGACACAGTTGGGATATAGTCATTGGTTAACAGGTAGGAGAACCAGAGCTATATTCGAGGCCATTATTATTCATAAAATGATATTTTTTTTCTTCTCATATACTTTAAAAAAATAACTTCTTGGCCTTTGTGCATTTTGTTTCTGCAGTTTGAAGAAAACAGGTCTGAAACGAGGTCTTACCCCCAGCTGCCTCTGAACACGGTGACTTGCCAGATCTCCAAACATCAAGTCCAGCTTTGTCCGCCAACCTGTCTGACATGTCGGGACCCGTGCCAAGCAGGGCCAGAGTTTACACAGATGTTAATACGCACAGACCCCGAGAATACTGGGATTACGAATCACATGTGGTGGAATGGGGGTAATTGTTTTTATTTACTTTGCTATACTCACCCAAAAAGCTGAATCTTACAGATTTGTTGAGTAATTTTTGTTAGTAAACAACCTTGACTCTGCATCTACAAACCTCAAAAGCAAAGCCTAATATGTGTTTTCTTCTTTTGAGCTAAAAGTTTGGTTTTGTAATAAAAAAGCAAAATGTTGCTTTAGCAAGTAAACAATTTTGGTGGGCTTATCATTTAAAAATCATTTCAGTCTCTTCTTATCCTTTTCTCTGATTTATTTACAGTCGTGCATCACATAACATTTCAGTCAATGATGGGGCCTGCATGTATAGTAGTAGCCCCATAAATATTATATATAGTGGAGCTGAAAAATTCCTTTCCCCTAGTGATGCCATAGCCAAGCCATCATAATGTCAGCAATACTTTACCTCTTTTGTGTTTAGATACACAAATACCTTGGTGTTACAGTAACCTACAGTATTTAATATAGTAACACGCTGTATAGGTTTGTAGCCTAGGCTTTACCCTGTAGCCTAGGTGTGGAGTATGCTATACCATCTAGATTTGTGTAAGTACACTCTGATGTTAGAGACATTTCTCAGAAAGTATTCCTTCTGTTGTTAAGTGAGGCATGTCTGTATTTGGTATACAAAGCTGGCAACAGAAGTAGCTATCAGCTTGCTTCTCAAGCTAAGAGCATTGCAGATAGATGAGGATTGATACTTGAGAGACTTTGAAAACACCAAACTCTTACATAAAGTGTTTTTGAGGTCAGAGAATGTTGTCCCATGATGATACTGTAGGATGAAACAAACAGTTCTCCAGAAAGGTATCTTCTTTCTGATGAGATGCCAAATTAAATCCTTAAACAATTGCCCTTAACATGAGACAAGGCATGTGTAAGATGGAATTCAATTCCATCTTGAACAGTTGTAGTCTGCCTTAACAGCTGTGTTTGCCCTCCTAATTCTCTGTGCAGACTCATTTGGATGTTTGTGTTTCCTGTCCCAATGTGGTAGGCATTTAATTGATCAGATCATACTTTTCGTTATAAAAGCATTTTGACATTTAAGTGCAAAAGAAAGCAATTTGAAAAATTCATAAAGCTACAAATCCTGTATGCTATATTTTTACATCTGACTTGCATGTGATTTCTATAGCTTATAAGTGGTTAAACACTGTCTTCCTAAATTATCATAGGGTGTGTTTTTAATCTTGACTTATGCCATGATTCCTTTTTTTTTTTATTTTGAGACAGAGTCTCACTCTGTTGCCTGGGCTAGAGTGCCGTGGCATCAGCCTCGCTCACAGCAACCTCCAACTCCTGGGCTCAAGCGATCCTCCTGCCTTACCATCTTGGGTAGCTTGAGACTACAGGCATGCGCCACCATGCCCGGCTAATTTTTTATATTGTTAGTTGTTTGGCTAATTTCCATTTATAGTAGAGACGGGGTCTCGCTCCTGCTCAGGCTAGTCTCGAACTCCTGAGCTCAAACAATCCTCCCTCCTCAGCCTCCCAGAGTGCTAGGATTACAAGCGTGAGGATTCTTAACAGTAAATACATTGCCTCTGCATAAGAAGGCACTATCTTTAAAGCTACCTTCAAGAACCAATGATACAATACCAATAAATGTTATCACTATTGATAATTTAACAGTTCCCGTCTTATGTCACAGGCTTTGAACTTTAGGTAATACTGTGTTTTACTGTAGAAATTTCAACCACTATCTTCAAATTGAGTGCTTTACACTTATTTCTGCTTAAATGACACTAAATGGCCCTTCTTGGTTTTTGGCATTGGTGCCATTTGCTTGGTTGCATTTGTTTTATATGCCCTCCACAAGAAGATAACTCAATCAGAACTGGGAGCCTCTTTACCCTCATCCATTGTTCTTGGCACCTTTTGCCTTCTCCATTCATTCACTTCTTTTTAGATGCTTGAGAAAAATGAATGGCTGATTTGGTGCATACTTAATTCTTAGTATCTTCAGCAGGAGTAAATAGAATTTAGGCCTTACTAAAGGAATCATGTCATTCTTTTGAGCATAGTCCTCTAAGTTGGAAGCAGGGTTGGGGGAAAATGTTGGCATTTCCCTTACTCTTCTTTACCTCTGTTTATTGCCTTTGATATTGCTTAATTTTCATGGAATATGTGTAAAAGTAGAGAAAGGGACCCCTAACTGTGATTCATGAATTAAGTGTCAACACAGGGCCAAGCACTAGGACAGAAGTGTATAAAAATTATTCTCTAAGGGAAAGCTGTCTGTTGTTGGAGACAGATGTATTCATAACAAATTCTGACTGATATAAGCTAGCTGTGTGTTACACCAATAGAGATGTGAATAATTTGGAATTTTGAGAGAATAATTGAAAGGCTTAAATTTTCTTATACTAGGATTTGGAACACATTTTTAGTAAGCCCAATTAAAAAAATGCAATGAATCCAATTTGGGAATTATTTTAAATACCTTTTATTTCTGTTATTCCTCCTGGTAATAGAGTTTTATAAGTAGAATTGGTGCTTGATAATTTGAACTTTTTTAATCACTGTGACTTTGACTTTTTTGTCCACAGAAATCAAGATGACTACCAGCTGGTTCGAAAATTAGGTCGGGGTAAATACAGTGAAGTATTTGAAGCTATCAACATCACAAATAATGAAAAAGTTGTTGTTAAAATTCTCAAGGTGAGTGTAAGAAGAGAGAATTTCAGGTGTTGATTTTTAAAAATAATAGTGATGCCTTTTAAAAATATAGCATTAAAGGGGTTTTAGTGCATTTATTTTACTATATCTTATGAACTCAATAGAATAAGTTATGTTCATTTAACAGATCAGGAAATTATGCAAGATAATTGATTTGACTCAAGTCATATAACTAGGTTGTGGCAGACGAAAAGAGTCTTCTCTTAGGTCTTACCAGATATTGATTTCCTATATTTTAAATTCTGTGCTTTTGTTTTCAATAAATCATTACCTCTACTTTATCAGGTTAGAGAGTCACACATACAGGCCTTAGAGGACAGGCAGATGATATCAGTGAAGGTAGTCTGGTATAATTGCCCATGCTTAGATGATGTGAGTGGTAGAGACTGAGACAAACTGGAAAACACATGCCTCTTCAAAAGGAGATAGCTGCTTCTCAGCTACAGCTGATTATTGCCCTGCTATAGTGTAAGTCCTGTGTTGCTTGATCCTCTATTTTGCAGAGAGAAGCCAGAGACTTATATTTGTATAAAGAGTCCCCTGGTTTTTTAAGTTTGGCTCAAGATTTGTTAAAAACACCACACAAGCCAGATTTGGCCAGTGAGCTACCAGTGTGCAGCTTTTAATTTTGTTATATCTGTACTGCACACTGTTGTATTGGAAACTTAGCTTATTGTTTCTTACCACAGGAACTTTTCCATATTTGACACTGAGGAACAGAAGTTTCCAAACTTTCTCAATTTATAACACTTATATTATCTTAAGTAATTTTTTCATGGTACCCCTAAGCCAAAAGAAATATCTAGTAGTTCTGTTTATTAAGTAGCTAGGTCCGAAGAACAAAGTATTTATATTTTAACAACTTGTAGCCATATAAAAAGTTATACACATAAAAGAAAAAAAATAATTTTTTTCTTAAATAACCATGATTAATTACTGTTAGGATATGTACACCTGTTAGTCACTGCACAGCTTCTCCAATGTTTGGATCAGATTGGATACCACCACTGTCATTTCCTGTTCTACTTTAATTTTTGCATAGTACTTTTTAATGACAGCAACTGCTAGAAACCCAGCTTCACAAAAATATGCCCTCAGAAGGAATATAGTGCAATCTAATCTTGAAGCTATGAACTACCTCAAGGCTAATAAGGCACTCAGTGGCAGATATCAGGTATTTACTGGTAGGTTTCCCTCAAAAATTTAAAGTATTCTACAGTGCCACTGTGAATGAATTGCTGAGGCGCTTCACACAGTATTTGAGAACCAAAGAGTATTTGTCTTAGCACATACAGAAGGAGAAGTAGGCTGGAAATCAGAATACTTGGGTTTTAATCCACACTCTAAAATAATTAGCCGTGGTAGTCCTTTTAAACCTAAGATGTGTTTACTCATCTGTAAAAGAGATAATCTTGCTTTATCTATCTTTCTCAGGGTTGCTATAAGGATCTAATATGTATAGAAACATATTTTGGAGACTGAGGTTTTATGTAGTTTTAGGATGGCATTCTTATGGAGAGGTATTTGGTAAAATGAGGTGATACATTAATTAGACTCACGTGAATCATGGCACAAATAAATAGTGGGTTTATAGTTCAGAACAGGATAGTAGTTAGAAAAGCTCTCTGGATTTCAGGCTAAATGGGAGGAAGATTTAGATAGATGTGGGTGGAAGTGGGGAAGGGGGTAGCATGCTGTGGAACGTACCAAGATTAGAAAATAAGGAAAGGAAGAAATAAGAGAAATGTTTCATGTGGAACACGATATGTGACCGTACACAGGGTGTGAATTTAGAAAGGGAGATTAAATTTGTATAAGGCCTAGAAAAGATAATCTCTGCATTTCCTTCCAATCTTAAAAGTAACTAGGTTATTGAGTGTGAAATGTCCGATCTTCTTAACACACTGACTGCCACACTAGAAAAAATTATTGTCCCTGGGGCCACGGTGTTTTATTTTATTTATTTATTTATTTATTATTTATTTATTTTATTTTTTTTGAGACAGAGTCTTCCTTTGTTGCCCAGGCTAGAGTGAGTGCCGTGGCATCCGCCTAGCTCACAGCAACCTCAAACTCCTGGGCTCAAGCAATCCTCCTGCCTCAGCCTCCCGAGTAGCTGGGACTACAGGCATGCGCCACCATGCCCGGCTAATTTTTTTTTCTATATATATAGTTGGTCAATTAATTTGTTTCTATTTATAGTAGAGACGGGGTCTCACTCTCGCTCAGGCTGGTTTCGAACTCCTGACTTTGAGCAGTCCGCCCGCCTCGGCCTCCCAGAGAGCTGGGATTACAGGCGTGAGCCACCACGCCTGGCCTATTTTATTTATTTTTTTTGAGACAGAGTCTCACTTTGTTGCCCAGGCTAGAGTGGTGCCATAGCGTCAGCCTAGCTCACAGCAACCTCAAACTCCTGGGCTCAGGGGATCCTACTGCCTCAGCCTCCCAAGTAGCTGGGACTACAGGCATGTGCCACCATGCCCAGCTAATTTTTTTCTATATATGTTAGTTGGCCAATTAATTTCTTTCTATTTAGAGTAGAGACGGGGTCTCGCTCTTAGGCTGGTTTCGAACTCCTGACCTCGAGCAATCCGCCCGCCTCGGCCTCCCAGAGTGCTAGGATTACAGGCGTGAGCCAGCGCGCCCGGCCTCATGGTGTTTTATTAAAACAAAACGATCCTTTCTAATTTATTTTTTATTGTTTTCTGTGTGTGAATTATATGCAACACAGTCTACATTTTTAGAATTCTCAATATTAATTGCAACAATAAGAATATCAACAAGTAAGATTTTCACAAACCAACTGCAGAGTTTTGCTTCAAAAGGCTCTGGGCTCAAAACTAGCCTGAGTGAAATATAACTGACATGGCAGTCAGAATGTTAAGTACTAAGTTTGACAGTTGATTTCTCTGACATTTTACTTTGACACATCTCATTTTATTTTTATTGTGAAGGTACAGCCTCAGTCTTTCAAACACATGTTTTAGCTTTTGATTATCTTTCAAATTTTTTAGAGCAATTTTTGTGAAACTATGTATAAGTCAAAAATTGATGTTATTTCAAATATGAGTTCCATCCTGGAACCAGTGCAGCACAGACAGCTTGAAATATCAATGGAAGTGTTTGGGAAGGATGTGACTAATGAATGCACAGTATGTTGATGGTTTGAGAAGTTCCATTGAAAATGAGCCATGGGGGACCTGAGACCAAGGGGGGACAAGGATGAGCTAAAACTAGTGGGAGCGAGTCCATCTCAACCCATGCATGAATTAGCAGCAAGGTTTGATGTTACTATTCCAACAATATTGGACCATTTGAAACAAATGGGCAAGGTAAAGAAGCTGGATAAATGGGTTCTGCATGAATTAAATGAGCATCAGAAAAGAAACTGCCTTTTTCTACACCATATTGTTACATGTGATGAAAAATGGATTCTGTGTGACAATCACAAGCATTTGGCACAAGGGTTGGATAAAGACAAAGTGCTGAAACACAGTCCAAAACCGAATATTCATCAAGAATGCACCGGGCATGGTGGCTCACACCTGTAATCCCAGCACTCTGGGAGGTCAAGGCGGTTGGATCGTTTGAGCTCTGGAGTTCAAGATCAGCCTGAGAAAGAGTGAGACCCTGTCTCTACTAAAAAAAAAATAGAAAGAAATTAACTGGACAACTAAAAGACATAGAAAAAATTAGCCAGGCATTGTGGCACATGCCTGTCGTCCCAGCTACTCAGGAGGCTGAGGCAGGAGGATTGCTTGAGCCCAGGAGTTTGAGGTTACTGTGAGCTAGGCTGATCCAACGGCACTCTAGCCTGAGCAACAGAGTGGGACTCTGTCACCAAAAAAAAAAAAGCTAATGGTGTCTGTTTGTCTGTTTGGTGGTCCAATGCTGGTATTATCCACCACAGCTTCATGAAATGTGGTCATTCAACTATGGCAGATGTCTACTGCAACCAATTGGATGAAATAATGAGGATGGTTGCAATTAAGCATCCAAAATTGGTCAGTAGACACAGGCCAATCCTCTTGTGAGACAATGCTTGACCACATGTCTCACAGACAACGCTGCTCAAACTACAGCAGCTGGTCTTGGAAACTCTGTCATCCACCATATTCACCAGACTTTGCACCAACTGACTACCTCTTCCAGGCTTTGGACCACTTCTTGCAAGGAAAAATACTCAGTTCTCAAGTTGTAGAGGGTTCTCCAGGCTTCTTCGCTGCTGGCATAGACAAGCTACCAATGTAATGGCAAAAGTGTGTCAGTAGTTTAGGTGCATACTTTGAGTAATTGTAGTGCTTATTTGAGATGTAATAAACTACACTTATGATTTGAAATCAGACATTTCATATTTAATGACCTAATACAATATCTCCTCTAGATAGTTGGGAGCCATTGATAATCTCTCCCTATTTAATGAGACAAAAGTTGCATTGATCACATTAAATTAGGGCTTAAGGCACCCGCCTAGTCTGTTGCAAACCAGTTTTGTAAGTTCATAGATTTGAAAGATTTTGTAGAATAAAAGTTTTTTTTATAAGCCAGTAGCTTTTTTGTCATAAACTAGCAGTTGGGAAGTAGTAATTTAGTAGAAAACAGGAGGTGGATTGAGGGGTTGGCCTCTGTAAGTTAGATCTCCCAAGTACTATAACAGAAAAAACCGCTATCACCTTGTTTCCCAACTAGTCATTTTATTGAGTTATTAATTATTAGTAGAATATTAATAGAAGCAAGGGGAAAAGGCCATGGATTGAATTGAATGTGGACTGTATGGAAGTCGCTCTTTATAAAACAGCTTCCAATTATTGGTTATCTACTTTGCATTGGGCCCTATTCTAAATGGCATATAAATCACAGCAGCTCTGTGAGCCAAGTATAGTTCCTTTTCAGCAGTAATAAAAATAAAGTTGATAAACATTTACGTGGTAGTTTTCTCAAAGATGCACAGCTGCAAAGCCAGATTTTATTGACTGTCAAAGTTTCTAAAACCTGCTTGCTTTCTACTGCCATGTGCTTTGGACTTAAGGTTAAAAGAGTTTATAGTATTGTTTGGTAGTTCCTAGACCTAGATCATCAGCCTGGGAACTATCTGAAAATAGAACCCCAGTTTCAAGATTCTGATTTAATAAGTCTAGGTGGGTTCTGGGAGTCTTTATATTTGAAAATCCAGGTGATCGTTGATCACCAAACTTTACTAGTCACTAATCTTGTGAATGAAGAGATGAAATATACTTTAAACAATTTCTAAAGAGTTGCATGATGCACATTAGCAGTCTGAGGTAACCAATACCCTAGGAAAGAAATGTAATACAATCTAGTACAGCAGACCGTGGCCACATGTGGCTATTGAGCTTTTTTTTTTTTTTTTTTGGACACGAAATTCACTTTGTTGCCCAGGCTAGAGTGAGTGCCGTAGTGTCAGCCTAGCTCACAGCAACCTCCTGGGCTCAAGCAATCCTGCCTCAGCCTCCCAAGTAGCTGGGACTACAGGCATGCACCACCATGCTCGGTTAATTTTTTCTATATCTATTAGTTGGCCAATTAACTTCTTTCTATTTATAGTAGAGACGGGGTCTCGCTCTTGCTCAGGTTGGTTTTGAACTCCTGAGCTCAAAGGATCCACCCACCTCGGCCTCTCAGAGAGCTAGGATTACAGGTGTGAGCAACCGCGCCCGGCCGCTATTGAGCATTTGAAATGTGGCTGGGCTGAGTTGAGATATGCTGTAAGGGTAAAATACACTAGATTTCAAAAGGTGAAGACAAAAAAAGGATGTGAATAAGATCACTAATATATTTTTTATATGATTTATATGTTGAAATTATAAGATTTGGATAAATAAATATATTATCAAAATTAATTTTGAGCCAGGCATGGTGGCTCATACCTGTAATCCCAACACTTGGAAGGCCAAGGTGGGAGGATTCCCTGGAGGCCAGGAGCTCAAGACTAACCTGGGCTACATAGTGAGACCCTATCTTTATAAAAAATTTAAAAATTAGCCAGTGTGGTGACCTGTGCCTATAGTCCTAGCTACCTGGAAGGCTAGCCAGAAAGATTGCTTGAGCCAGGAATTTGAGGTACAGTGAGCTATGATTATACCACTGAAATCTAACCAGGAGACAGAGCAAGACACCCTGTGTCTCAGAAATAATAATAATAATTTTGTCTGTTTCTTTTTACTTTTTTTTTTTTTTTTTTAGACAGAGTCTCGCTTGTTGACCAGGCTAGAGTGAGTGCCGTGGCGTCAGCTAGCTCACAGCAACCTCAAACTCCTGGGCTCAAGCGATCCTCTGCCTCAGCCTCCCAGTAGCTGGGGACTACAGGCATGCGCCACCATGCCCGGCTAATTTTTTATATATTAGTTGGCCAATTAATTTCTTTCTATTTATAGTAGAGACGGGTCTTGCTCTTGCTCAGGTGGTTTCGAACTCCTGACCCTCGGCCCGCCGCTCAGCCTCCCACAGTGCTGTGGATTACAGGCTGAGCCACCGTGCCCGGCTCTTTTTACTTTTTTGATATGGTGACTAGAACATTTAAAATTACACGTGTCGGCCGGGCGCTGTGGCTCACGCCTGTAATCCTAGCTCTTGGGAGCCGAGGCGGGCGGATGCTCAAGTCAGGAGTTCCACCAGCCTGAGGCAAGAGCGAGAACCCCGTCTCTACTTATAATAGAAAGAATTAATTGCGCAACTGATATATACTATAAAAATTAGCCGGCATAGTGGCGCAAGCCTGTAGTCCAGCTACTCGGGAGGCTGAGGCCAGAGGATCACTCTAGCCCATTGAGTTTGAGGTTGCTGTGAGCTAGGCTGACGCCACGGCACTCACTCTAGCCTGGACAACAAAGCGGGACTCTGTCTCAAAAAAAAATTACACGTGTCTTCCATTATATTTCTTTTGGGCCAGCACTATTTTAGACTATTAAGAAGAAAGAAGAGGCCGGGTGCAGTGGCTCACACCTGTAATCCTAGCATTCTGGGAGCCGAGGCGGTGGAATTGCCCGAGTCAGGATTCGAAACCAGCAGCTGAGCAGACGCGAGACCGCATCTCTACTATAAATAGAAGTTAATTGGCCAACTAATATATATAGAAAAAATTAGCCGGGCATGGTGGTGCATGCTTGTAGTCCCAGCCACTTGGGAGGCTGAGGCAGTAGGATTGCTTGAGCCCAGGAGTTTGAGGTTGCTCTTAGCTAGGCAGACACCATGGCACTCACTCTAGCCTGGGCAACAGGGCGAGACTCTGTCTCAAAAAAAAAAAAAAGAAAAGAAGAGTTTATGAAGGCAATATAGTTGCACAGCCCTCTCAGATGAAAGGATTTCTGTACTAGAACAGATGTATGTGATGAGGAAAAAGGAATGCAGAAGATATACTCTAGGGACTCGGCAGAGTAGTCTTTTTAAAATGGAGGGATTACTTTATAAGAGTATTGGTGATAAGGCTGGGTAGATACATGTTATGTTGCAGCCATTATTCTAAAGTCTTTTCAGATACTTCATTTGATTCTTTCCACAATCTTATGAGGCGGTTAACTCTTTTTTTTTTGAGACAAGAGTCTTGCTTTGTTGCCCAGGCTAGAGTGCCATGGCATCAGCCTAGCTTACAGCAATCTCAAACTTCCTGGCGTCAAGCAATCCTGCTGCCTCAGCACCTCCGGTAGCTGGACTACGGCATGCCGCCACCGATGCCCAGCCTATTTTTTCATAGTATTTAGCTTGGCCAATTAATTTCTTTCTATTTATAATAGAGACGGGGTCTTGCTCTTGCTCAGGCTGGTTTCGAACTCCTGACCTCGAGCAGTCCACCCACCTTGGCCTCCCAGAGTGCTAGGATTACAGGCGTGAGCCACTGCGCCAGCTATAAGGTTTTAAAAAGTTAACATACTGAGACTGATGATTGAAATTAAATGCTAATTCTGCAGAGGTCTGGTCTTTGGAATGGAAATCTTTTTTTCTTTCAATTCAACTTTTGTAAGTACCTGCAGAGTTTCTGGCACAGTGCTAGGAGAAGGATTCAGAGAGGAGTCTGACACATTTTCTTCCTTCAAGAAGCTTATAAGTAAGCCATTTATGTATTAACACTACCTGTTGAGATAATCTGAAAATTTTTTTTTTTTTTTTTTTTTTGCTGATGTACTTTTACCCTTTCAGCCAGTAAAAAAGAAGAAAATTAAACGTGAAATAAAGATTTTGGAGAATTTGAGAGGAGGTCCCAACATCATCACATTGGCAGATATTGTAAAAGACCCTGTGGTGAGTATAGTAGGTGTCAGCAAGGCCCACCAGAGCTGAGGTGGTGTTTGAGAGCACAACTGGCCCTTTCTGTCCCCACCCCACCCCCACACCCTCATCATTAAATCCTGCTTTAAAAGTGCTTAATCAGATACATCATTTAACTAGCTTGGGTCTTTATTTCAAAGAGACCTCCACCCACAGACTATTTCTTATTCTTCTAGGCTAAGAGACTGATAGCACTGGAAACTGAAATGTGTTAATCCATTTTGCAAACTCAGGTCCGATGCCGATGGGCGATGGGCGCATTGTTGGGCTGCCTAGAGCCTGGTGAGACTTCAGCTCCATGTCTTCTGTTTGAAATCCATCCCAAAAACGACCTAAGTGTGGTGATGATCAGAGTGGGGAGGGCTTGTAGCAATAGAGGGTTTCCTACTACTGAGGCGAGGACTGCCAAATTCACCACGCAGCATCTGCAAACATTGTGCCCACTAAAGCTGCCGGGGCTATTGCTAATGTGTGTTTTTGTTTTTTTTTTCTTTTCCCCTAGTCACGAACCCCTGCCTTGGTTTTTGAACACGTAAACAACACAGACTTCAAGGTATAATATATAACCAACCATTTCAAGCTGGTGGGTTTTTAGACCACATAGAAAGCCTTCGAGGGATGGTACTATTAGAAGAGCTTGCTTTTAGCTTGTTTTAAAAGAGTTTTTCATCTTTATAATGCTAAATTTTAAGGTAGAAGAAGTCCTGTACAAGCAGCGCCCACTTTCTGCATCTTGGTATTTTGCCCTTTTATTTGTTTAGTGTTCTTTTTAACAATAAATACATTTACTTCTCACCACCTTTACCACTCATTTGACAGTTTCTGCTTATGTTCAACCTAATGAATGCAACAACACATGTTTACTCAGGATCTGGCCTTGTGGCAGTTCACTTTAAACAAGAGTATTCAAGAAGGAATGTATTGTGTATATAAAAGTAGGGGCTACTTATTCCTTAGGATTCCTCAGAAACTCTGGGCTGTATCTTAAAAGGAGGGGATGGAAAAGGATGATATCAAATTCTGTTATAAGACAAAACTCTACAATAGATATTTCTGAATTCCAGCCCATCTAGTAGCCTACTTAAACAGTTCTCAATTCTAGTTTAACAGAAGAATATAGGCACTCTCTTAGAGTACAGGTTATAAAGGTATTTAATTTGCCTTTGTACCAGTTCAGTATCAAGAATATTATGTATCAATAAATGGGTGAATTCTTTTGCTGAGAGGGGGAAAACAGGAAGAGAAACTTTTAGAATCAAAACAGTAATTTCAAGAAAAACTTTGTCAGAGACCATTGCTAACCATTTAAAGATATGTACATTTTTTTAAAAAAATTCTGCAACTGTTTGGAAACTAGAAATTATATTTAATACTTGTTCAGAGTTTACTTTCAGATTGGAACAGGAATAGTTCTGTTAAAGAGACTCAATAGGTTTGGCATCTGCATGTCCACTGGTGATCTGCAGGGCCAGTTATGTAAACCAAAGATAGATTAGTTCTCTGCTAAGGAAGCTGTGTATTTGCCAAAATGCCTTTTATGAGAAAGTCTGGAGGTAAATAAAAGGCAAACTAAATTGTGTTATCAGTGTACGTTGTGTGTGTGTATGTGTAGAAAGAGAGAGTTATGTTCCTAAAAGTGCGTTAAAACTTCAGCAATATGAGTTTAAGTAATTCTTCACTTTTACATGTAGGGTTGAAGACCCAAAGTGTCTCTTTAAGGTTAATGTAATGTTGGGGAAACATTACTGGAGGGCAGTGAACAAACAGATCTTGGAACAATGGCAAATGAACCAAGTCTTGGTTTGAATTACTATAAATGAGGATGAAAAACTACTGTGAATAAGAATGAAAAATCAGCATTATGTCATGGCTCAAATGTTGTATTTGTCTTTAACAGCAATTGTACCAGACGTTAACAGACTATGATATTCGATTTTACATGTATGAGATTCTGAAGGTAAGGGAACCTTGGATACTAAATATTTTTTAATTGGTCTTCCCTTTGTTAAATAGTACAATTTATGTAGAAAAGCCAGTGAATTAGCTTTGTAAAGTATATTGAAAAATGAGGCTCCTATATATAAGCTTTTAATAAGTTTATAGTAGCAGTATCCTTATGCTAATGTAAGGGTCATGGAATAGGGTCTAGTAGGAGTATAATTTAGAATGCTTTGAAAAGGGTGTTTGGAAAATAGGCTGAGACAATAAATAATTGTTATCTCCATTGTTTAAATTGTCAAACTTATAAAAAACAACATCTGATGTACTGGCTTCTGGTATACTTACAATTTAGCAGTTAAAATAGTAAATTTTGGCCGGGCGCGGTGGCTCACGCCTGTAATCCTAGCACTCTGGGAGGCCGAGGCGGGCGGATTGCTCGAGCTCAGGAGTTCGAAACCAGCCTGAGCAAGAGCAAGACCCTGTCTCTACTATAAATAGAAAGAAATTAATTGGCCCACTAGATATACGTAGAAAGAAATTAGCCGCATGGGTGGGGTGGGGGCGTTCGTTTCTACTTTTTTTTTTGTGTTTTTTGTTTGGTGGGCCGGGAATCCTGAGTCCCAGCTCAGCGTCGGGCGAGGCGAGGCAGGAGGATCACTTGAGCCCAGGAGTTGAGGTTGCTGTGAGCTAGCAGCGCCCACGGCACTCACTCTAGCCTGGGCAACAAAGTGAGACTCCGTCTCAAAAAAAAAAAAAAATAGTAAATTTTAACTCAGCTCTCCAAAGGGTCATTGTCCTAAGGATTGTGTAAATCTCTGCTTAGGGATTGCTAATTGTGTGTGGGCTTTGATTTCTAAAGTGGGATCACCAAATATCTTGTTCCCGATAGTCACAAGATCAGCTTTCTAGATGAGAGAATTGCTAAGATTTGGCTAAGGTTCCTTGCTAATCAAGGGTTGACATAAAGCCTGCTGTTTGAGTCTTAGAAGTACCCTGAAGAGATTGTGCCAGCACAGGTATTTGATCTTTTCTTTGGTTCATGCAGTTTTGTGGCAAGTGGGGCTTCAGAAAGTTGCAGATATGCTGCTTGCCTAGCCTTGGGAACTGTAGGAACCCAAGTTGCCCTTCAGAAAGGACAAGAACTTGGCCAGTGACATCAACTGACTGAAAGACCAGGATTAACAAACTCCAAAGGTTATGCCACTCAGTTCCCTTTAGTTTGACGTTGGAGAGGTTTCAAATTGGATTTGCTGACCTAAGTCAGGAGATGGCAAACTTCTTTTAAAGGGCCAAACAGTAAATATTTTAGGCTTTACAGACCATAGGGTATTTGTCACACTATTCAGCTCAGCTATTCTAGCACAAATGCGACTATAGGCAATATACAAATAGGTGTGGCTGTGTTCCAATAAAACATTCACAAGAGCAGGCAGTAGGCCAGATTTGGCCTGTGGACTGTAGTTTGCCAGCCTCTGTTGCAGACTATTAGTTGTTAAAGAATTACTATTCTTTGAATGAGAGGTTTATAATATAGACCTGTATTCTTTTTTTTTTCGAGGGGTCTCTAAAAATAATCTAGGCTTTGGATGAGGGAGCGATTAAAAGTGGTACAATTGAGACAGAGTCTCGCTTGTTGCCAGGCTAGAGTGAGTGCCGTGGCGTCAGCTAGCTCACAGCAACCTCAAACTCCTGGCTCAAGCATCCTGCTGCCTCAGCCTCCCGAGTAGCTGGGACTACAGAGCATGCGCCACCATGCCGCTAATTTTATATATATTAGTTGGCCAATTAATTTCTTTCTATTTATAGTAGAGACGGGTCTTGCTCTTGCTCAGGCTGGTTTCGAACTCCTGACCTCGAGCAGTCCACCCACCTTGGCCTCCCAGAGTGCTAGGATTACAGGCGTGAGCACTGCGCCAGCTATAAGGGTTTTAAAAAGTTAACATACTTGAGACTGATGATTGAAATTAAATGCTAATTCTGCAGAGGTCTGGTCTTTGAATGGAAATCTTTTTTTCTTTCAATTCAACTTTTGTAAGTACCTGCAGAGTTTCTGGCACAGTGCTAGGAGAAGGATTCAGAGAGGAGTCTGACACATTTTCTTCCTTCAAGAAGCTTATAAGTAAGCCATTTACCTGTATTAACACTACCTGTTGAGATAATCTGAAATTTTTTTTTTTTTTTTTTGCTGATGTACTTTTACCCTTTCAGCCAGTAAAAAGAAGAAATTAAACGTGAAATAAAGATTTTGGAGAATTTGGAAGGAGGTCCCAACATCATCACATTGGCAGATAATTGTAAAATACCCTGTGGTGAGTATAATAGGTGTCAGCAAGGCCCACCAGGCTGAGGTGGTGTTTGAGAGCACAACTGCCTTTCTGTCCCCACCCACCCCCACACCCTCATCATTAAATCCTGCTTTAAAAGTGTTATCAGATACATCATTTAACTAGCTTGGGTCTTTATTTCAAAGGAGACCTCACCACAGACTATTTCTTATCTTCTAGGCTAAGAGACTGATAGCACTGGAAACTGAAATGTGTTAATCCATTTTGCAAACTCAGGTCCGATGCCGATGGGCGATGGCGCATTGTTGGCTGCCTAGAGCCTGGTGAGATTCAGCTCCATGTCTTCTGTTTGAAATCCATCCCAAAACGACCTAAGTGTTTGATGATCAGAGTGGGGAGGGCTTGTAGCAATATGAGGGTTTCCTACTACTAGAGGCGAGGACTGCAAATTCACCACGCAGCATCTGCAAACATTGTGCCCACTAAAAGCTGCCGGGGCTATTGCTATGTGTGTTTTTGTTTTTTTTTCTTTTCCCTAGTCACGAACCCCTGCCTTGGTTTTGAACACGTAAAAAACACAAGACTTCAAGGATAATTATATAACCAACCATTTCAAGCTGGTGGGTTTTTAGACCACATAGAAGCCTTCGAGGGATGGTACTATTTAGAAGAGCTTGCTTTTAGCTTGTTTTAAAAGAGTTTTTCATCTTATAATGCTAAATTTTAGGTAGAAGAAGTCCTGTACAAGCAGCGCCACTTTCTGCATCTTGGTATTTTGCCTTTTATTTGTTTAGTGTTCTTTTTAACAATAAATACATTTACTTCTCACCACCTTTACCACTCATTTGACAGTTTCTGCTTATGTTCAACCTAATGAATGCACAAACACATGTTTACTCAGGATCTGGCCTTGTGGCAGTTCACTTTAAACAAGAGTATTCAAGAAGGAATGTATTGTGGTATATAAAAGTAGGGGCTCAGAGAGCTAGGATTACAGGTGTGAGCAACCGCGCCCGGCCGCTATTGAGCATTTGAAATGTGGCTGGGCTGAGTTGAGATATGCTGTAAGGGTAAAATACACTAGATTTCAAAAGGTGAAGACAAAAAAAGGATGTGAAATAGATCACTAATAATTTTTTATATTGATTTATATGTTGAAATTATAAGATTTGGGATAAATAAAATATATTATCAAAATTAATTTTGAGCCAGGCATGGTGGCTCATACCTGTAATCCCAACACTTGGAAGGCCAAGGTGGGAGGATTCCCTGGAGGCCAGGAGCTCAAGACTAACCTGGGCTACATAGTGAGACCCTATCTTTATAAAAAATTTAAAAATTAGCCAGGTGTGGTGACCTGTGCCTATAGTCCTAGCTACCTGGAAGGCTGAGCCAGAAAGATTGCTTGAGCCCAGGAATTTGAGGGTACAGTGAGCTATGATTATACCACTGAAATCTAACCCAGGAGACAGAGCAAGACACCCTGTGTCTCAGAAATAATAATAATAATTTTGTCTGTTTCTTTTTACTTTTTTTTTTTTTTTTTGTTGAGACAGAGGTCTCGCTTGTCTTGACCAGGTTAGGGTGGAGTGCCGTGGGCGTCAGCTGCTGCTCACAGGCAACCTCAAAGCTCCTGGGCTCCAAGCGGATCCTTCTGCCTCAGCCTCCCAAGTAGCTGGGGACTACAGGCCATGCGGCCACATAGCCCGGCTAATTTTCTATACTTATATTAGATTGGGCCAATTAATTTCTTTTCCTATTTAGTAGTAGCAGACGGGGTCTCGCTCTTATGCGTCAGGACTGGGTTTCGAAACTCCTGACTCGAGCAATCCGCCCCGCCTCAGCCTCCCACAGTGCTAGGGTATTACCAGGCGGTGGCCAACCGTGGCCCGGCTCTTGTTTACTTTTTCTTGATATGGTGGACTACGAACATTGCTAAACTTACACGTGGTCGCCGGGCACTGTGTTCTCCACGCAGCTGTTATCACTAGGCTCTTGGGGGCGTAGGCGGGCGGGATTGCTCAAAGGTCAGGCAGTTCAAAACCAGCCTGAGCAAGGAGCTGAGAGCCCCCGTCTTACCTAGGTAAATAGAAAGCAAAATTAATTGGCCAAACTGGGAGCTATTCATATATTTATAAATTAGGCCGGCATCAGTCGGCCGCATGGGCCTGTAGTCCCAGCCCTACTCGCGGAGGCCTGGAGCAGGAAGGATCACTCCTAGCCCAGGGAGTTTGAGGGTTGCTGGGTGAGCTAGGGCTGGGACGCCACGGCCTCACTCGTAGGCCTGGAACAACAAACGGAACTCTGTTCTTCAAAAAAAAAAATTTTACACGTGTATTCCATTAGTATTTCTTTTGGCAGCCAGCACTATCTTTGACTCATTAAGAAGCAAAAGAAGAGCCGGCGGTGCAGTGGGCTCACCTGTAATCCTAGCATTCTGGGGGAGGGGGAGGCAGGTGGATGTTGTTGACCGACGGTTCAGGAGGGTTCGAAACACAGCCTGGAGCAAGGCGAGACCGCCAAATCGTTTACTTACTATAAGTAGGAAGTTAAGTTGGGCCAACTAATAATATAGGAAAACAATTAGCTGCCATCGGTGGTGCATGGCTTGTAGTCCCAGCCACTTGGGAGGCTGACGGCAGTAGGATTGCTTGGAGCCCAGGAGTTTGAGTTGCTCTTAGGGGGCTAGCGCAAGACACCCATGGCACTTCACTTAGGCCTGGGCAACAGG